GAAAAGCTCCTGGGGCTCTCGTACGACAAGAAGAACCAATGGCAGCCAATATACGGATCAACACCGGTGACGCCGACAGGATCGTGGGAGACGGGTAAGAGGTACCACGTGGTTCTTACGATGGCGAATAGAAACGGTTCCGTGTACATTGATGGAGAACTTCTGAAGGGTTCAGGGCAGACCGTTGTGCCAGACGAGAGGACGCCTGACATCTCCCACTTCTACGTTGGCGGGTATGGAAGGAGTGATATGCCAACCATGAGCCACGTGACGGTAACCAATGTTCTTCTTTACAACCGCCAGCTGGATGCCGAGGAAATCAGGACCTTGTTCTTGAGCCAGGACCTGATAGGCACGGAAGGAAACCTGGACAGCAGCGACGACGACGACGACGGCTCCAACAGTACGTCCTCAACTCCCGTTGACAGCGGTGCCAACAGTACGTCCTTAACTCCCGTTGACAGCGGTGCCAACAGTACGTCCTCAACTCCCGTTGACAGCGGTGCCAACAGTACGTCCTCAACTCCCGTTGACAGCGGTGCCAACAGTACGTCCTCAACTCCCGTTGGCAGCGGTGCCAACAGTACGTCCTCAACTCCCGTTGACAGTGGTGCCAACAGTACGTTTTCGAGTCTTCTGGCTGGGAGTTCCAACAGTACGTCCTCAACTCCCGTTGGCAGCAGTGCCAAAAGTACGCCTTCGATGCCTTTTGCCGGTGGCGTCTACCGTAATTTTTTCGTTTTTGTTGACGGCGGTGCATTTTCGGCTTTTTCGGGTGGAAGATTTTTCCTGTGTGCGTGGGCGTTGCTGCTGCATCCGCTCCTGATGATTGCTTCTGTTTGATGTAGCGAGAGAGGGTTTTCTTACATGGGTAGGTGCAGTAATAATTGGGGTGTTAACTGTTGCGGCAAATGTATGTGTGCGGGATCTCATAATAAAGAAATGATCTTCAGGAATATGTTTTTTAAATTTGCGAATCTTTTGGGCGGATGTGCAAACACATGGGAATGAGTAATTTGTTGAATTTGTTTTTGGCTTTTCCTTTTTTTTTTTTGTCACTGGCTTTTGTTCACGAGGAGACCGCGTTGGAATGCGGTGAGGACGTTTCTTTGTTTTGTTTTTGCCCCGACTTTTTTCTTTTCTCACGGTTTCACAAATAAAACCGATGGCTCGCACGCCGTACGGCAGCACGCGCCCCTACACCTCATGGCGTCACAACTGTGCCCCAGCAAGACGCGGCTGTTGCTGGCGCTGGTCGAATACCGTCAGCCCCGTGCCAACAGCAACAATCCCGTGAGGGAAACATTGCTGGCTCCTGGCTTCACTGACAATACGGGGCAATCGACCCTGACGCCACGCTGCGGTGGCTGGCATTGCCAGGGGAACGGTCTCCAGTTGGGCTCTTCGCTTTTTTCTGGGGGCTTGGCTCGTGTGCCACCCGCTCCGCCCACACGACCGGTGTGTGGAGATGACTGGCTGCGGTTTCCCTGTCCGACAGGCTGGCCAATTGACCGTGGTACGCGTGATGCCAACTTCCGCATGCATTTCCCGCCGCGGTCTCTGGATCAGGCGCTTTGACCCTGCAATAATGCCGCTGGCATTGTAGGGCGCATAACGATGCATTGGCAACTTAGCAACGACCACATCGCGGTGCAGTACAGGCTGAGATCCGGAGCACTGCGCTGCAGAATGGCTGACTTTTGGCTTCCCGAAGAATCGCACTCGCGTCTCTCGGTGATGGGCCTTGTCACCACGGTGAGGCAGTTGGCGACAAAATCGCCAGGGATCGACTTTGTGTTACGCGCTTCGAGAGGGTGTCTGGCGGCTGTGGGACTCGAAGATTGCCGATTTTCGGGCTCACAACGAGCCTGCTTCTCGCGAATGGAGCACAGAACTAATTTTTACTTCTCTGTTTGTGAGAGTTTTGGCGCAGTTTCCTTTGAATTGGGGACGTTGGGTTTATAGAACCAAACCCTGGTCCCCTCATTTTTTTATTGTCGCTTTTTTTTTTTTTTTGCTTTTGTTTAGTGTGGTGTTAATTTCATCCATTTAGAGGGACGCCGCCTCATTGTCACCGAAACTGCCACGGCGGTCTTTGAGTGCCCCCTCACGCTGATGCTGTGGAATTTGTGTCAACATTCGGAATTTACTTCTGAGCTTGATTTCCGTTTATCCTTTTTTTTGCTTTTGTGGGTTTGATGGAGGGGAGCGGGCAGCAGGGGGCGGGTCGAGATGCCTGTGGAGTCAACGGCGTCGCGGGGCTCTCTTCCGGCCATCGTCATTCAACAGGCAATTACGCAGCAGGTTGCCACGAGCACCAGCACCGATGTTTCCTACCAGACGTCATCGTTATCGCCATCGCGGCCGCCGTCGGCTCTCCGAGTCGAGGCTGAGACACGGCAAGGGTATGTGTACCAGGGCAAGCTTCTGTCGTTGGATGACGACTATAACATCAGCTTGGCGGAGGCAACATCATGGCGTGATCGCCTGTGCGATGTTGAGCGTGCGCTTCTGGCGGTGAGAGGGTTTCCTGCGCCTGCTGCAAGTCCCGCGACACGCCGGCGTTACGTTGGCTCCGTTTTTATTCGCAGCAGTAACCTGCTGATGGTGCGGTTTCTAGAATACGACGAGCCGGGCGCGAATGGGCGTCGGGATAATAGCCATGGCGCTGCCGGTTTGAGGTCTGCCTTTAAGTCCATGGTGTCGAAAGTCAAGCGACAGATCAATATGGAGCGGAAAAGGAATCGCATGGAGCGACAGAAGCGCCTGCATCTGGCTCAAACGCCTGTGCCAACTAAGGCGGCGAATGACGGGAGTGGTATGCGTAGTCGAAAGGATCCAAAGGCCGGTTCAAATAGGAGGAGGGCAGGAAGATTTTCTTCATGAGGTGTTTGTTTTTTTTCTTCTCTTTTTTGGTGTTTGTGTCACGTCTGTCTTCCGCGTCTTGTTTCCGTTTATTTGCATGCGTGCGCCACGGATACCTTGCGCGATGCGGCTCTTGGTAGTTTCTTACACGTCATGTGCGTGCCTTGGTGCTGGACTCGATAACTTTTTGTTGGCCTTTTTTTTGAATTTATTTCCTCCAGAGGGAAGGGGAAGGAACGGCGGTACCTGTGTCTGCGTCTACGCCTGCGCCGTGAGGGACGGCCAGGGGACGAAAAGAGAAAACAAATAAAAGGACTGTGTGAAGGGAGGAGGAGGCTTTATTTGTAGGGGAACATTTTTTCTTTATTTTGTTAGGTTTTATTGGAGGCGCGTGTTTGTTTTGTTTGGTCAGGCGTACATGCTGCCAGCCAGCAAAAAGGAAACAAAACAAAACCGGTGCTCTCAGGTGGTGTTTGGTTGATCCATTTTCGATATTTCACAAAAGAGCGAAGTTAAGAAAGGGGGAGGGCGTGTCTGTGGCCGCGTTAATGGCCGTTCGCGCTCTACTGCAGGTGGCCGAGAAGTGCCTCGTGTGCCGCGTTTGCTACACCCTTCTCCGCTCTCCAGTGGTGTTTTCATGCGGCCACGTCTTCTGCAAGGCGTGTGCCGAGCGTTTCATTGAGGAGAGGCCACGGTGCCCTTTGTGCAACCACGCTGTCATGAGCCGCCGGGCAATCACATCACTGCCGACCGTCGCGAGCCTCATGGGCCTGGTGCAGGATGTGGCCAAATCACTGCGTCTGCAACAGACGGCACACGTTGCTGCCGTGAGGGCTGGCAATATTGCACCGCCGCGCCTGACGGAGAAGATTGTTGGGATACAGACGGCGGACGAAAAGTGCTTTCCGACGGCTGCTGTGAGGGATTCACTTGCGTCCACTCCGACCGTGGACGACGATGCCGATGAAAAGACGGTGAGGGTACCGACGATCCACCGAAATGTGAGTATGCCAGAGACACAGTTCCTGCGTACTTCTCCGCCGCCCGTGCCTGTGCTGACTGACGATTTTGTGGCATGGGAAGACGCGGAAACGCAACGCATTTCCTTGAGAAGTCCGATTGCAAGTTCTTTTTCCCGTTCTTTGCAAAATCATTATTATCAGTGCGTGGCAGTACGTCGTTGCATTGGGGAACTTTCAGTGGGGGCCTATGAGCGTGTTGGTTGCTGCTTTTTATGCGGGCTAGATATCAAGAATCGTACTCAGGTTCGCCAATACTTACAGCAGATTCTTAATTTGGATCCTACCTGCGACCACATGCGTCTTCGGAGGCTGAACGAGGTGACGTTGAGTGACTTTTTGGGTTCCATGTGGGATCTGCACCTTCCCACTCAAATTGTGAAGCGTGCAGCAAGCGGTATGTGCCGAAAGCATGGCCGTAGCGGGACTTTTCTTTCATCTTCTACGCTATTAGTGCACCAGGCGTGTCTCGAATGGTGCGTGTTGCATGAACGAGTACGAGACGCGGTCGCTTTGAAGGTTGCGGTTATGGACACACAGATGCAGCAGCTGGACGGCTCTTTGCGTGCTTCCACATGTTTCTTTTGTTCAAACAGAGGAAAATGCCTGATTTTGTGTGAGAGGTGCCAGCGGAAGTCCTATCACTACCCCTGCGCACTGCTGACAGGCGCTGGCGTGTGCAACATTTTATCTGAAACCATGTCTCTGATATGTGCGACGTGCCTACAGGAACAGGAAGAGCAAGGGGAAGGGGAGGCGGAGGAGGAGGAGGAGTTGTTGGTGTTGTTTTAATATTGGGGGGCGGTGATACGTCCTGTACACATATGCCAGCAAAAACACCAAAAGCATGCATTTTTGTGAATACTTTTCATTTATTTATTATTTTTATTCTTATTTTGTATGCTTAAAAATCCCCCGTTTTTTTTTTTTTTTTCCTTTATGCGAGTATAAGTCGGTTTGGAGGGGCAAAGAAGGAAAAAGAAACACAAAAAAGTTGCGGTGACTCCCGTACACAAAGGAAGGAAGGCACCACACATACACACACAAATTATATTATATTATAATATATTATATATACATATATATATATATATACCAGTACACACCTCTGCAATTATGTCGCTATCCGGTGATGATCCGCTGCAGCAGAACGCCATGATGGGGCCAGGATCTGCGACGGCCGATCAGACGAGTATTGTCTCCGGCGGGAAACACGGTGGCAAGGGAGCTGCAGCGCGTGGTAAGGGCAAAGGCAAGGGCAAAGGGAAGCGTGGCGGCAAGACGGGGGGCAAGGCAGGAAAGCGCGACAAGATGTCACGTGCGGCTCGTGCCGATCTTAACTTCCCTGTTGGCCGCATTCACTCTCGGCTGAAGGACGGGCTGAACCGCAAGCAACGCTGCGGAGCGTCCGCTGCCATTTACTGCGCCGCCTTGCTTGAGTACCTCACGTCAGAGGTGATTGAGCTCGCGGGGGCGGCAGCGAAGGCGCAGAAGACGGAGCGTATTAAGCCGCGGCATCTGCTGCTGGCGATTCGCGGGGATGAGGAGCTCAACCAGATAGTGAACGCCACCATCGCCCGCGGAGGTGTGGTGCCGTTCGTGCACAAGAGCTTGGAGAAAAAGATCATCAAGAAGTCCAAGCGAGCAGGCTGAGGAGGAGCTCGCCCCCGGGTGGGGCGGGGGAAGAAAAAGAACGGAGTGAAGAAAAGAAAAGAAAGGACCCCAAAGAAAATGAAAAACAAACAAACAACAAAAACAACAACAAAACGAACGAACAAACAAAGAACAGAACAGAAAAGAGAAGAACACAAAAACTAAAGAAAGAGGCAAAAAAAGTAGAGGAGAAAAAAGAGAAAGCGGTGGCTGTTTTGGGCCGCCAGCGCCATGGAAGGGCCGTGGCCGGAAGGGGGGGCGGATGTGTGGGCACGAGGGGGGAGGTGCCGGCGACCACCACGGCACGGATCAACAACGTGTCACAGGGAGAGGAGAGAAGCCCACAGAAATCAAAGGCCGCCACCACCACCGGCTTTTCAGCGGCACTCCTTTTTTTTTTTTTTTTTTGCCACACGATAGAGTCATGTATTCCATACTTTTTGTTTTTTCTCCATTCCCACTTGTTCGGTGTCTCTTATTGGCGCCCGGTGGGTGGGTGTGGTGGTGGGGAGGAGCAGTTTTCAATGGAGGCAAGATAGATGAAAAAGGAAAAAAAAGAAAAGCGAAGGAAGCAGAGGGAAAGGCGTGGAGGGAAAGGAGCAGGCAGGTAGAGGCGGGAGGAATACAGACAGAGGCGGGGTTAAGCCACCTTCTCTCCGCATTCACGAATAAACGTTGTAGCCATGCCTCCCCATATATATTTTTATTTTTATTTTTATTTTTTTCTCTGCTTCCTTCTTGTAATTTTTTGTTTTTGTTTGTTTGTATTTCTGTTATCTCTTAGAAAAATCGTTGATGGGAGCGAGACAGCCACTGCCATCCGGTGGGGTATAGAGAAGAAGAGTCTGCAACTGCACTTTCCCAGCAATTCCCTTCATCACGCCTTGTTCTATGCAATATGCAAGGCGGAGATGGAGGAGTTTAAGAGTGATGTTGCGTCTCTTTATGTTGTGTTATGGTTTATTCCCTTGTGCGTGCACTGATTTCTATTTGCGTGGCTGAGGGAAGGGGAGACCGCCATGTACATGAATATCGACTGCTCGCCCCTTTAGATCTTTTTTTTTCTTTCTTTTTTTGTATTTCCTTACTCAGGGGTTCATTAGGAGCATTTGTAGAGACTGCGGGAGAAACAAACAAACAAAAAGGAACCAAGCAAGGCTGTGCGTACTGAGGTCGCACGGCGGTATTTGTTAGTCCGTTGTTTCTGCTGCAGATGTGGCGACGCATGGCGGTTCTGCCCACTGCCGCGTGGCTTGAGGGGACTGCCTGCCGTTTTATTCACGGCGAGATGCGGCACCAAAACACAGACACGAACAACACCCGCATACCGTGGGACTTCTCCATAGCAAGCTATGAGGAAATCAATAATGCTATTCTCCCGAAATTCCCACGGAGCCGCCGCAGAAGTGCCGTGATTCCCCTCCTGCATCTTGCGCAGCGGCAACAGGGCGGATATATCCCTGTGACAGCAATGTACAAAATTGCCCGTATTTGTGAGGTGCCCCCAATGCAGGTCTTTGAGACCGTGACGTTCTACTCCATGTTTAATCGCCAGCCAGTGGGGAAGTATCACATCCAGTTTTGCGTGACAACCCCGTGTATGTTGTGCGGCTGCGACGAACTTGTCCACCGCACGGAGGCTTACTTGAATGTGAAGATGCATGGCACGACGAAGGACGGTCTCATCACACTTGGGGAGATGGAATGTCTTGGTGCCTGCGTCAATGCCCCCATGCTTGTTGTGAGCGATTACAGCCGTCCACCAAATTTTTCATATGACTTTGTGGAAGACTTGACATGGGACGCTGTCAAGCAACTCATTGAAAATTTACGCGAGGGCCGCCCATTTAAGGTCGGCACCCAACGCTCCGATCGTAAATGGGCGGATCCGGCAGGCGGCCGAACCTCAATTTTTCTGAAAGAGCCACCAATGCCGTATTGTAGAGACCTTGATGCAAAGCCAGATCCACCAGCAGCCCCGGCTGCTGCCAAGAAGTAGTGCGTTGAAGGGCAATTAGAAAACCGGGCTGGTTGGGGGAAACGTAGTGGAGCCGAGAGGTGCACGCCCATACATGTATACATATACATGTATATTAGCTGCATTTTATGAGGCTGCTGGGTAACGAGGGTGAAGTGTTTTTTTTTTTTTTTTTTTTAGTGGGTGAGGAGTAGTGTAGTATAGATGCCCGCGTGTGTGTAGTGAGAGGTGTACATAGATGTATAAAGACGTTTGCGTATCGCTTTGTTCTCAAGAGCCTTTTGAGTCATTGGTGTGTGGGGTGAGACGGGGGTAATGAGGTAGAGGTATGGGGCACATACATGCCAATATTTATGACATTGGGAGAAATTAAAATTGTAGGAACGACCCGCAGTGTTTTGCTTCATTTTTTTTTTTTTTTCCCCTCATCTTTTTTTTTTTTTTTGATGCAATGAGACGGTGTCACCGTTCGTGATTTATATCAGCTCCACGACGGCCACCAGAGTCATCAACATCAACAGGACAACCAGCTATTCAACCAGCTGCCGTGGACGAGCGAAAGTCAAAGTATGTCTTACCCAAATTATTCTCTGACTGATTCCATTCGCGCCGCACTTGCGGCACATGGGGTGCGGAATGCTCGTGTCGTCATTGATTTGTTACCGGGGAACGGGCAATTGGGTGTCAGTGGCAATGAAAACGGAATGAACGGCGATTGGCATGTCGTGCAGACAGACGACATGGAAATCATCATCAACGAGCGGGAGGGGGTACTGTTGATGGAAGGTACACCGGCGCAGCAACCGCTGGAGCCGCCGAAGACGCTTCCGCCGCCACGCGCTCACTCGCCGTTTGGAACAGTCAGCGCACCGCCAGATCTCCTAGTGGGAGGTGGCGGCGCGCGGCAGCCGAAGAAACACCACTCTCGAGAGAAGGTGGAGGGCGGTAACGGCTATGATTTTATGGAAAACGTGGTGGAACCCACAACAAAATCAGATGATGCGCTGCCACACGGGTCTTTTGTCGGCGATGCACCGTCGAGCGGGTCCTTTGAACGAAAGGTCCCCATTGTGCCTTTGGAGGATCTTCATAAAGTTTCTCTGTCGAGTGATCTACCAAGGGGCGAAGGGGCCGGCGAGGGGTTGCCGCACGATCCAACGACGCCGTTGCCCAGTTCCAGCTTGTTGAAGTCACCATCCGCGCTCTTTCCAACCCCTCAGGCGCCAGATGATCGGCGTGAGTTGAGGAGCAATTCGTCTTTGTTACCGGCGACTCAGCCAGGAAGCAACCGCAAGACAAGCGTTGTACTTGTAGAGAAGCTGAAGGCACCGGCGCCGCCTGTGAAGACCACACCGTCTGGCCTTATGCCTGTTTTCAGCATCCTCAACACAGAGCACAGTGAGCAACTTGAACGCCTACCTAGCAATGCCAGCTCACGGAAGTTCAGTAGCGTGCACCTGGTGGAGTCGCCAGTCGTGGAGGAACCGAAGCACCAGCCCCACGTCGCTGAGGGGTCGGAGGCGGCCCGAAAACCGGGCATTCTTGTCACGGGGGCGTCATCAAAGACGGGGCAGACTGACTCAAAGCCTGGAGTTGTCGGTGGGAATGGTGAATTGAAGTTTCCCCATTTCGGTGAGCAGAGCAGCAAAATGTCAGTATCCAGCGAAATCGACGTCAGTGTTAACGGCAAGATGCTCAAGACCCCAACACCACATGTAGATTTCTGGAAGCTCAGTGGCAAGCAGCGTCTGCAGGAGATGCTGCAGGAGCAGCGGGAGATGGAGCAGCAGGACAGGTTAAGCCGTGCGAAGCACGAGGAGATTATTCAGGAGGCGCAAAAGGTTTTGCAGAGGCTGGAGCAAAATAAAATGGCATCCAAGGATGAAGGTGAATTGCCCTCACTGCCGCAAATTAGTCTGCGTACCGGTCCAGCGTCTTCTCGCCCTGTGGCGGCGCTCTGTGCATCCCCTCACTGTTCATCGCTATCGCCCAGCAACGCAAACGGCGTCAATGGCATAAAAGTTCTCAGGTTTACGCTGCCGGCAAGTGGAAAGGCGAAGGAGGAGGTGGTGAGTCAACTGAGCACCAGCCCGGGGGGGTCCCAACACCTGTCCAGCAAAGACAAGTACTCTATGCTTCTTCAGGAACAGGAAAGGATCCTGCGGCAGAATGAGGAGGGTGAGGACGAGTACAAGAAATTGGTGGAGCGGGCTGTCGCATTTCATGAGCAGCGGAAGGAGCAGAGACGTCTGCACGAGGAACAGGGGTCTGAGGAGAGTGAAGAAGATGATCCCGTTAAATTATGAGTTTGAAAATTATTTAATCTATATATATATATATATATCTTTTTATTTATTTATCTATCTATCTATATATATAAATATAAATATGAAAGGACGGATGTTTTGTCTATCCCTCTTTTCGGTATGTATACAATGAGTATTTACATATGTATATGTAAATTTGTCAGCGTGTCACTTGCTTTCTCCCTTCTGAAAGGGAAGATGGGGAGGCGGGCGGGAGGCGGGAGCAGGTGGCACGGAAAGCAGTTTTTTTTCTTTTGGAAATAAGTAATGAAACGAAGAAGGAACGAAGAGACGAGAAGAAAAAAAAAAAAAAGAAAAAAGAAGAGAAAAAAAAAGGAAAACAAAAAAGAAACGAGGTGGGAAAGAGGAGGGGGAGAACGACGTGGGGTGTACGGTTCTGGTCAAACTATCCTTTTTTCTCTTTTTTTTTTTTTTGGGGGGGGGGGGGGGGGGG